TATATATATATATATATATATATATATATATATATATATATATATATATGGGATGATACGCAGCATTTGTCATTTTAATCGCTAGATTGAACCAAAGGGTTCAATAAAGTGAGGCATGACTATGCAGATAAGCGCATTACGTGCACACAATTTACTATAACCGTCTTGCAATTTTGAAATTACATGTATGTCTCTAGCACCACCATTTGGTCATATCCGGTGTGAAAATGTATGAAATGGACGATAAGTCATTGTTTCAAAACAGCGGAGCTCGGTTTTATTACTTTTAATCAGCATATGGTGGGGGTAGATCATTACAAACTTTTTTCCGAAATCCTTGATTCGAATGGTGTTCAATCGGCGACACTATTCTAAATCTCAATTTTCGTTTCTAGGCTCAGCGAAATGGCAATATCCGACCGGTTTCAGAAAATATTGTTCCCGAATTTGTCTCTAAACCCAATCACCTCAATCCAGAAGCTATTCGCCTTCGAGCAACACAAAGCAACTGTCCAGGTAAGTGCGTCTTTCCTTTCGGAAACTTCTCTTTTTACTCATATTAATAATATTTATAGTTGACGGTGTGTTTTCTCAAAGGGTACTTAAATAATTGGAATAGCATGTTACAACAAACATATTCATTAAATCCATACTATTTCGCATTTCATTATAGATTATTCCATATTTCTCTTCGTGCGTATTGGACGAGGGGAAAATTTTCCTTTCCTGGAGTCAAATTCACTCATTTACTTCTTCCACCCCTTAAGAGTGGTAAAGAAAAGTATGCTTCTTTCCGATCACCCCGTTCCTGTAGCTAAAAGCCTTAAATGCTAATTTTTATCCGATATTTAAATAAACTACCCATCAAAATAAGAGATAAACGGTGCTTACATTTCAAAATTATTTGTCATCGACTTATCAAACAAATTCTTAGTGTTGATATGTAATTATTTTCTATTCCAATAGTACCAGAAATCCGACTTCGTTCCCATTCCACTCTCTCCGGTGGTTCTGTTTCCTCCTTCGATGATCCAGCCATAGCTGATCTCCTCTCCTCGAATTCCCCCAACTCCTCTGTATTTTCTCGTGTTCGACGTCGTCGTGGTCAACGTCTTGTTCTACACTCACCCGAAACAGTCACCAATTCCATAAACGCAGACAATGGCCAACTGAGTAGACGCGGTCGTTTAAATCGTCTCTATAGCAACGCTGTGCGATGTGAGGTCGCTGAAGTGAGTAAAGATAGTATCTCCAACAATGTCAATGGTGCCGCTGATGTTCGACTCACTGGTTATCGACGTATTGTGGATGATGTTTTTGAGTCTGAAGAGATGGAAGAAATGAAGACAAATTTGTCGTCGGTGGAGCGCTCTATGGAAAGGAATGGTGGTGGGGAAAAACCTTTGAATGGTCGGAAACAACAAGAAGAGGAGCATGAAGATGAGAGCCAATCAGCGAGTTTTAAGAATTCAACGTATGTCAAATGCACTTTTATTTTGAGATTGTTTCTTATTTATCTTTTATTAACCGTGGAAATGCAACGAGCCTTCCGTTTTGCTATTGGGATCCCCTCCAAGCACGAGAAACAGTTAAATAGGTCAAATATGTAGTGAATATAGGGCGAATACAAGGAAAAAAGTCCGTTCTAAGTTTTTTTAATTTGTTCCTTTGTTTCTTGGGTGATATCTCACGTTCGTGGTAGGTAGAGTTGATCGATCTGTGAATTACTTTGAGGGTTGCCTCTGTTCCTTTTAATAGTCAAAAAATAAGCACTAATTTCTAAGACTTTTCTAAAAATTTGATTATTATTTCCACTTTGATCATCTTTTAATTCCTTAGAATGTCATGGTGGTTTGTAAGGTGTTAAAGCCACATAAATCCTTTGCTTATTGTAACTTAGACAGAGTTTGGACGTTTTTATCGATTTTTGTTTTTGTTTTCAACACACACTCGTGTTGTGGGCTTCGTTTGAAATGGGGTTCGTGAGCACAAATAATTCGTCTGCTTAGGTTCTTATAAGATCAATGGTCTTGCGTTTTTTATTTCTCTTGAGTACGTTCCAATAACAAGTAAATATAAGTGTTCTTACCTTTTTATAAGAGAATTGATTTTTATAATACCAGCATATTTGCATACAATTATTAGATTAAGACAGTACTGGCTAATGGCGTGGCGTAAAAGTGCAACCAAATGTGTGCATTCTCTGTTTTTGATTAACATTGAGCAAAGCATACTTCTTTTCAACAGTTTAATATCGGTCAGAGAGTAATTCGCGAACGCTTCCTCTTGATAATTATACTCTCTACTCAACTGTACTCTTCTACTCGGTTTGTGTAAGTTATTATAATGGTCTCCAAGATCAGCCATTGAGTATTTTACTTAAATCCCTCCTTATCTTTTGCCTTTCCTGATTTATTTATCCATAGGCGTGTGCTCTATCGAGAGTGCAAATTACCAATATTTCCGTTTACGATTCCTTGATCACTTTCGGTTAAACTTGAAAAATTGCAGTCATATTAAAAGGATGTGTTGAAACTAGCGTTCTTTCTCAAAAAATTGCCCCAAGCGTTCTCTTTTCCTGTGCTTCAACTTTTTGTTTACAATTTCCGTTTGCATATTTTTTTTTTCGCTTTCTGCTACACCATACTTGGCTTCTAATGGGTGTGTGCTACCTGCGATTTGTTCACCCAAACCCCCCTGTAGTGTTACTGACATGATATGGTCTCTGTCAATTAACAAACAGGCTTTATTTACAATTCACTTTAATACAAAAAGAAAAGAAATTATTTCATTATGGGAAGCAAATAGAAGCGCTCAACAGGATATGCTTGATGAAGAGGAGGGGGGGGGGGTTTATGCCAGTGAGCCGGAGTCATGCCTCATCCGTTTTTTCTTGGAATCGGGCTACTAAATTGACAACTCGTTTTCTAAATTTTATTGATCCACTTTCTGGATTGCACACTCAACACATGGGACTGGTCAAAATCCAATCAAGTAGGGCCCGTCTTGCCGTTTCCATTATTTTTTTCTCACTCCATTGGTTAAGGAGTTAAATTATCTCAGAGTACAGTCAGATGAATATTTAACGTAGTATAGTTAAATATATCCAGCAATTTTAGCGTTGGCCTTCTGTATTTTCGTTTTCCATATTATTCATGCTTTCAGCCAAAATGAACGCAAAAATATATCATTGGAATTTTTCTTTATGAATTTTTCTTTAAAAAAATGCTAAACTATGTTTTAAGTTCTCTTTCCCCGCAATTTTGCGTATTGGTCCAATCTGTCAATTTTCATTGCATGTTTTGCAATCTGTTAGGAGGCTGAAACAGTAACTAAACTCCCGTCGTAATTCCTATAAAAAAGGCGTGTTCTGTACGATCTTCGGTTGTTTTTTTATCCCCATCAAAGTAGGCTCTTCTAAACGATAATGACTTCAAAATGACAATTTGCTGTTGCTGTAATCTACCTCCCCACTAGGCATGCTAAGGAAGCAGTTGAAACAGACAATTGGACTGCGGTAGCTCTAAAATACGTTGCTAGATAATCAAAGAATGCAAGTTGTTCCCATGTCATTTAAGTTTGAAGTTCAGTGCACTTACGAACTGACAGCAATTTTTTGGCTCAAGTACCCCTGGGGTTGGTAGGTGTGTGACCCCTGTCAATGTATTTGCAAGGATGATGGGTGACTTGGAAACAACAAACTACAGCTTCGGACATTATTTTCATGGGCAATCTTCTAAACATCGGAAACCTTGCCGTATTTCGTTAAGGGAGTTAAATAAATGCCACAGAATGTGGACAAATAATCAAAATAGTTTTATTTCATTTATATTTCCTATTAATCAGGTTGCCTGTTTTTACCCTTGTTGAGTATATTTTATTGAGTGTATTCACCCCTTTATAGAGTTGTAATTACGCAGACTCTTGGCACAAAATGAAGGAGGATTTGCTAATCAAACGACACGTTTCTAGTAAAGAGAGAGAGAGATAAGTTTGTTTTAAAGGATTGGATGTATGAAAAAGGGTTGGCTGCCTTGTTAGCTACAAATAGCCTCGTTGCTTATTTCATGTTTGGCCTTATATCTCCTAGTGCGTGGGGCTGGAAATTCATTGGTCGATAATCTAGTATTTGAGGATTGAAGCCGTTCTGCTTTGCGTTTTAACACAAAATGTGTTTATGTTTACGCTTCCAAATTGTATATGTTTTTTAATGGTGATTCATGTCCAAATATTCTCATGTTCGGATTTCTGCATTTGACCCCTTATTACCTTAGAAACTGTTTATGTCATTTTGAGTGATTTGCTCTGATCTCTTAATCCCCCCCCCCCCTCCCAATTCATTTTGAATTAGCTGAAATTGAATTTATCACAATTTATCTTTCGAAATTCATTTTTGGTTAAAAGTGCATTTCCAATGCCTGTGGTTTTAATCATGAGTAGATCACACTGTGAATTTTCTCTTTGGAAATTAGGTCGATTTTGTTTTGGAATTAGTGCATTGCAAGCTCCTGTTCTATTCACTCGAGGTTTTTTTGTGAAGATTGCAATCATAAAATCAATTTTTTTGAACTTCGCGGTGGATCTATAATCATAGTTACTTCATCAGTCGATGAGTTGCTAATTTAATTGAGGACTCATCAAATGAGAAGAGAACGCCTAGACTGTCGGTTCAGCCCTATATTTGAATTTGCTTGCTTCAAGCCTATCAGGCCAAAGGTTGCAATCTCGATAATCATCTGTGCACATCAGGTGGCATGAATGACTAACCACATTGATAAGTTCTGATTAAAGAGAGGATTGGCAGAATGTGAATTCCACACTTGGATACCTTTGGGTTTCTCAATAAACACGGCACACTTCGTTCTCTTAATGCCTAGTGCACGTCCACTACTCGTTTTCCCTTATTGAGAAATATAGGTTTGGTGAAACAGTCTGTCTCGACATTATTCATTCATTCAGAGGAATATGATGTATGTCTTCTCCTACCTCACCTCAATTCACAAATTTTCGATTTCCAGAAAATGTTGAAAGGCTTATAATTCAACTCCACATTGACTATTGTTAGCCATAACGTGGTTGAGGGGGGGGGGGTTGGGACTGTGTTCTAATTTTTTTCATCAAGGCCTTAGTAAAGTGCGCTTTCAATTATTAATTTTGTGTGTATGCCATCCAACTGTGTGATTTACTGCTTTGAAAAATAGACCGCTTATATTTTTGTTGATAAGTATACTTAAAATCTGTTTACTACAAGTCGTTCAACATCCGCTTTTAATTGAAGTTCATAAAATATTGTTGTTTGAACTTTGAATGATGTATAATGAAAACGCCTGTTTGTTTGTTTCTCTTCAAATTTTAAAGAAGTTTCTGGGATTGTATCTGCTTTGGACTGAACTTGAATTTGGCTGTTTGAACACTCGCTACGTTGTGTTCGTTTTTCTCAGCTCAAATCGAGTTTATGCGCTTCGAAATGTACTGTCTGGTTGCCAGTGTATGCGTGATTAAACTGTTTTTCGGGCTTTTGGAAGAGGGCCTAATTTGAGGTAGCATCACCCGGATTCCTAATTAAACCACAGATCAAAAGCACTGGAAGTTTGAGGGCTAAAATTGATTCACAATCCCGTTGACGAGATATGGAATTCGAATTTTTTTGAACGCCAAGTTCCGAACTGATTGATAAGCTGCTAACACAATTCCTTTTCTGCAACTAAAAATTGGATTTTCTTTTCTACTTTTCTGTCTGCACTTAACTAATTGCTGTTATTATCGCAATTATTTCCCGTAATTTTTTTTCATGGTGGTTCATGTTACTATCTATCTGCACGAAATTTTGTATGCTTGTTTTTACAAAACCGTTGAATAAAAGCATTTGACAGTTGAGTTGTTCCGATCCTTAATAATTTATTATATTCCATTTGTGCTTATTCAATTGTATCGTGCCAAATGTTATTATTATTATATCAAATGGCAGGCGTTTTGATTGTTATCATTAGCCCTTTAGTTGACTTCAGTCTTCACAGAGGGGAAGGAACATCAAAGTGTAAAAAATTCAAGAGCGGGGGGGGACAGAAGAGTGTATCAACGACGAAGGTAGATAAGATGGAAAAAGGTGGGATGAGTAATGTGAAAATAGTCGAATATGGCATACAGTGGGGTCATGGTAGTTTGAAGTCAACTGCCAGGTAGACTTTTTTGCCGTATGAGTATACGTTGCCCAGGGTGCACCACGCGGAGGTAAGTCTATCACACACCCCTTTGGGCCAAATATTAGTCTATAGTTGAACGCAGGTCAAGGGCCTTGTCTAATTTCAACTATCACCTACATGTCTTCTGCCATTTTGCGTCTTTTCTTGCTGCTGAATAACGTCTTAGGTCAGGTTGCCTTCTTTACCACCGGTGGAAACGAGATTGAAAGTGTGGAGACTGATTTATTATTAAGATGAGGAGACGAATAATGATAATCGGAATGTTAACTCCCTATTTGGTCAATATTGTCCGTGTTTCGAATACAAAATTCAAGTGAAGCCCTTTGTTACATTGGAGCTTTCTCCAACATCGTTCTGAATCCCCCTCCTCCGTATTGTCTGTTGAATTTTATGTTTGCACGAACCTAGTAAGTGGAATGTCTAATGAGACTGATTAAGTCCGGCAAATATAAAGGGTGGTAGAATTGTAGCCTCTATGACATTTTTCTCTACAGGTTCTGGTTGCTGCAAAGCTTGTGGATGTTATTTTCAATCATCGTATTGCACCGAACTTTTATTGGAAGGAAAGAGTGTTTGCTTTTACGTCTATATTTGTTTTTTCTTTCAAATTTGTTGTTAAATGTGCATTTCTAATTCTCCTTCTTGTTTTTTCCCCCTAAAAGTATGCTGTTTCTCGCCATGACGTTAAAATTCCTCTTTTGGCTGAAGGTAGTTAACTTGTACATTTTCTTATTCTTATAGAGGTTGTATCGTCAAGTTGATTTAAGCTGACGTAAACAGCTTCAAATAAACCAATTATATTGGCGTTATGCTGTTGGGGGGGGGGGGGGGTAACACATGCATTTTGGCTGTCATAACCGACTTTCGTAATCATCAGTCCTGTCTATTCATTTAATGTCACACAGCTTTCACTTAATCAGCTGTCCCCTTTTGCCCCATTTTTATATAATCTAGTCAATTCTATCGAAAAGATCGAATTTTGTGGTGCATGGTCTGAATAGCACCTCCTATTGGGGATATTTTGTAGGTAAGGTTCATTAGATCTACAAGTTATTTGCAATATAGAAGTGTAGGTAGTGAAGCCAAGAAACTCGCTAAATGTGAAAGTAAACGATGATCTTTACAAAATAATCAACATCTATTGAATGGCGGGGGTTCTGTAATTAAGTATATCTTTGCTTGTTCTGCCTGCTTTCAGTTTGCTTCTAGTCTATTGACTTCTAGCATGAATATGAAATTTATTCTGGAAGAGGGGGGGGGGGGAAGGGGGAGGGAGGAAAAGTGAGATTTCGAGATTCCAATTTTGAAACTTGGATTCCCTTTGTGTAACTCGAATTTTGGCTCCTATCTCCCTGCATTGGATCTCTTGAGGATGTCTTGAAAGTGATCGCACAATTAATATGCTGAATGTCGAGCAGAAGGTTTCCATTTGTCATGAGTCTATTTGGCATAGCTGACTACCTCAATTTACTTAACACCTGCAAATACATAATGTATATTGCCAAACTCAACACAACAATTGAAAAGAAGGTGTACACTGAGGTGAAATACAATCGTATTTAAGTGGAAGGAGGGAGAGGAGGAAGCATGATTCCCACTCAAGATGAGATTGGGTGTTTAATATATTAAAGCACTTAATGTTTCCCCTCTAGGAGGAAATCTGCTTCCATGACGTCCCTCCCCAATTCAGACAGTTCCAAACTCGCACGTCGAATTCGTTCCTACAACCAAAACTTCCCCCGCTCATCACAAAATTCTACCTCCTCTTCTCATCGAATTGAGCACTCCATATCAACACCGAATCTTGTTCTCACAGCTCTAAGCTCTAGTCTTGCAGCTGCTGCTTCAGCTGACAATCTGACAGTCGAAAAGTGTTCACGTTGTGGTCTCCCAGATCTTTCCACGGTTACTGCAACTACGATGTTAGTTGGATCACGACGGGTGAACGGGACCACGTCTTCAATGGTATCGTCATTATCTCTACCCTCTTTGTCGTCACTAGATCCGAATTCTATTGCCTCAGCTATGGCAACTTCTTCTTTGTCTGATTCTTCCGGACTTCAAGGTGGAAGACCGACTATGAGAAGACTGAAACAGCAACGGCGTCGTAAGGCGATCTTTGCGAAGAAATCTAGCCCAAGGTAAATTCCCGTTCCTAGGATAATTAGCCAGCTTTACTAATTTGCTTATTTTTTTCGGTAATCAATGTCACTGACTATTTCTGCATAAACCGTATTTTTTATACTTTACTGTTATCTCAACTTGCTTACTAGTTTAACCCAACTTTCTATTTCGTTCTGCGTTAAGGTCATCTCTAGACCTGTAAGCTATTCATCGATCTTTACACATTTGTGTAGCACTCTACTGATTCGATTAACTAGCCCCTTCTTCTTTAACCTGATAACTTTATCACTAATTCTGATACATTCCCAATTTGTAATGTTCTACGGTTTGTAAATCTGGAAAAGACAACTTCTTAGCTAATCTCCTCTTTCATCATTGGTATTTACTACACTAGAATCTCTCTTTCACTACTGCTACTACTTCCAATTATTAAAATCCACGAGATAGAGTAAACTTTTCAGTCTATAAAATCAAAGGGTTGCCAAAAGCTGTTGTTTCAGTGACATACTGATTTATTCGGGATATATTTCAAGTCAGAAATTCCAGTAAGAAGTTTTGATGATCACAATCGTTCAAGTAGTTGAGATACTCCTAATTAGCTTATCCTCTCTCTATATATATTATTACAAATTCGATGTGAGAACGCTGTGCTATTGCGGGAAAACGTTATATTTCATTAATCAATCATTATTACATTGCACTTGGAGGCAACGTCTATTACCTTTCTTTTAATTACTTTGTAGGAATCATCAGAAATTATCAGCACACCTCTACACGGAAGAGTAAGTTAATTGTTAATTGCAAATACCATTGTATCATTATTTACTGTCTTTCAACGCGGCCATATTTTGATATTCAAATTTGGCATTGATTTTCAGCCCTCACAGTCTTCTCCTCTAGGCGCGCGCGCTCGCGCTCCTCTATGTTGCATAAAATTGTCAGTAATTAGACTTGATTCTGGAGAAAAAAAATAGAGGTGTAGTGTAGTTTAGGCGTGTCGTCTTGGTTTTATTGGACACGCGGATTACCTCCTCCTCCTCCTCCTTGTGACCTCATTCAATGAATCATTTAACCTTAGTTGGTGACACGCATGCAAATGTGTTTTCTTCTTCATGCTTCGCCCTAATTGGATTTTGTCGTAATCGCATAATATGATCCTATGGAGGATAAAAATATACCCCCCTTTATTCCACTTTACAATTATGATATTTCTCTTAACTAATCCTAATTAATTGCGCAGAAAGTGCGCTGTTTTTTATGTACGTAATCATTTGTATTCAATATCCTCAGTGTTTTAGCTGTGTAAATGTCGTTAATTGGGAAGCTATGTTTAGAACACAAATGCACGTATTTAAGATGCAATTTCTCTAAGCAAATTAATATTGGGATATATTATGACGATAGTTGAAAAGTCTGGCATTTGAAACCGTCTTTATAAAACTTCGCTAGGCAGACACGAATTCGAATACTACTAACTTTTTTTGACCAGAATTAAGGTTTGCGGTTGACCATCCACTTCACCAGTTGACACACATTTTGAGGCATCAATCTCCAATCACTTGACTACAACACCGTTGAAACCTATCTACCGCCTTTCTATGGGTAGTTGGAAGAATTATCCATTGGTAATGGCTCCAAGTCAAATGCCATACCTGTGATTTTTATTTATTCCCAAGACTGTTATTGGCATATAGTTCCTACTCGAGATTATTGAATAGTAGTAGTGTTTAAATCCGCAATACCTTCAATTACACACGGCTTAGGTCTGTATTAATGCTTTAAGCATCTTTGCATGATCCATCCTATTGAAAGGTGTGCAGGGGAAAGAAGAAACTCATCTGGCAAAAGAAGCCTCCAGTGTATAAGTAGATAATTGTGGGAATGCGCTTACATGAGAGGTTTAAATAAATTAACATGACAGGGGGGGGGAAGGGGGTTGAAGCCAATTAAGTAAGTAGTCGGGGAAACTAGCACATTTAATAATTCTAATTTTTCCTCATTCTTGGTTTTATTTTTTTTTTCAAATTTCCATGGCGCTATTTCTGTTCCGGCGTCGGTTTATGTTTATAAACTGCCATTACCATGGCTACAACCTCTTTTATGCATACACAAACACATGTACACAGATAGGGGCAACTGCAAAGTCGACACAAATGAAATTTGTAGAATTTGTGCACACAATTTTATCAGCTTGTTCATAGTGGAGGGTGAATGTTACCTAGGCGTATCGTTCTACCCACTCGGTTTTGAAATTTCAAGAAAATTTTATGAAAAAGTGGGCATGATAATGGAGATTGTGATAATGGCGAAATTCCTTAGCATATTACTTTGATTTGCAATGAGAAATTTGCTTATTTTATGATCTTTTTTTCAACTTTTTTGGCCATTTTTCAAAGCCATCAATTTGTGCCCTTTGGTTTAATCTAACCAAGCTAGGCTTGCACTCAAAATATCCTAGAAGCAACGATAAGGCATCAAAGTATCCTTATTCTTTTCTTTTTTCATTATTGTGGGGTCCCTATTTGGCGAACAGTTCGTGATCCGAAGTTCGATGTCTACGATACTCGCTGAGATTGTATTTCTAATGATCTCCACTTTAAGCCAGTTTTTTTTCATCCAACAGTTGAGAAGGTGAAATTAGTTTGCTTGGTATTCAACAGCTTAACGCAGCATCCATTTGCACCGTGCTTTTGTCTAAAACTGGTGCGCTTTTTATTGGCCTGCTGACGTAGTTCGTTAGCGACTTACGTAGTGGATGATGCGTTTTTGGACTAGCGCATTGAACTGAGGTGGTTTCACTCTCAGGTATTTGAGTTTACATATTGTTTTTTTTCGAGGACAACTTCAATTTATAATGATAAATTCTGCACCCCACGGAGTAGCTTTGGCTTTTATTGATTTGGCTAAGTGTGGTCTCATCTGGCATGAAATTGTGTAAGGGGCTAAATGCTAGGGTCACTAATTAGACCATGAAGAGATGCAAATAATTGATAATTTCGTATAATATACCTCTTTTCCTTTTCCACAGCCTTGTGAATTTCGGTTCTCTCTCTGATCTCCTCACACGTTCCTGCCAGTGTGACAAATCCACAGAATCCTTCCCGATTTCTCGAAATCGTCAAACCACCCCCAGTGCCTCTATGGATTTCTCAGCTCTCTATCACAGCACTCCCTCAACTCCCGTCACCGATTTAGGCCGCACTCGTCGTGAACTCTCAGTTGCCTTAAACCCCTCCATCCTCCCATCCCTTTCTGAAGACTTCCGAGATCCAGATTTGGCCACAAGTAGCAAAAAACGCCTGCATCCACGGCTAAAGGACTCGCGTGAACACATCCACAGATCAGGAGGGAAAATTTCTCGTGAAACGATGGGGGAGTTCCTGGTTGCTATGGAAAACGAAGAAGAAGGGGATGAAGTTGGTGCAGTGTTAGATACTACTGATGGGCAATCTAGAAATATGAGCAATTGGGTGATTAGGAATCCGGAGAAGGGTGTGGCACTTGTGCAGAATCAAATCACGGTGAGTATCTATCGGGTATCTATGTTTGAATAAACAAGAGAGAAGTGATCGTTATTTCTAGAGTAAGGGGATTATAGGAGTTTTTGATTATTCGAATCTACCCGGAGATCTCTTCATAGAGGACTAAAGTTAACGGAAACAAATGTGGTTAATTACACTGATTTTCATGAATGGACATTCTGTTGCTCATATAGCCTCATGATCACATATTTTCCGTTCCGTCTTGTAATGCTCTAAGATCGGAAGAAAGACAACACTCAAACTTGCGCGAGCTTAAAAAATAAATAGTGACACCGCTCCCAACTTATTAACTGCTTATTGCTTTTACATGAAGGTTTTATTACATACCTTGATCATAAAACGATTTCGTTGTTCCAGCAACAAGGCATCATTGATTGGATCCTTTTGCATCCTGAAGATGGAGTTGAGTTAATTCGTTTGTCAAAAGAAGCTCATGATTACCCTGAAACAGACGTGAGTGCTTCATCTCATCCATGAACTAACAATGATAACAAAATCAGTTACCTGTCTCCTAACCTTGACTGAATTTTTAATTTCTAAACGAATTCTGCTTTGTTTATAAAGCACGTTCATGGAATTCGGCTTCGAAATTATGATGGTAGACCACGACGACTCTGGTCGTTTAGCCGTTCGTCTAATGATCAAACTGGCGTCTCGCCTACAGAGGTGATTTTTTAGATTACACAGTCTAATGGCTTACCTTAGTTCTTAGCTTTACAAGGCTAGTTCAATCTGATCACTTTTATAATGAGTTCTATAAATCTGTTGGAAAAGTATTCCATTATACTAATCCAAAGCAAATATTTCGCTTTCCAATTTATCTATCTAAATGATTGCCGATGGTAATGAACTTTGATGTATTATGGAAATTGATTCTGTTGAAAGCCGGTATTTCAATTATAAAATAATATTTAACATCGAGCATTTAAAAATTGGCTTAGGAATTATTTTTTGCAATTACCATGGGCAAGTGTGGTGTATTGTTATAGTTGAGAGGAACTATTAGGTTGGCAACTAAGTCATTGCCGATTTCAAATAAGAAGGCAAATTCGGAATTTTTGTTTAAAAATATAACTTTATTCAATTAGATATTGGCCGTTCTTGTCGATGACCTTTTTTCATCGTTCTGGCAGAGTAAAAATTCCCCGTTCGTAAAATGTCTGGTCTTTGCTATTAAAAAACTGAATTAGGTGTGATCCGACATCATCCGCGTTGTTAAAAATTTTACCATTTAAAGAGTTTTGCATGGAACGAAACAAATGGTAATCCGAAGCCGCAAGGTCATGGCTATATGGTGGGTGTGACAAAACATCCCAATCCAGTTCCAATAATTTTTGTCGAGTAACCAAAGATGTGTGGGGCCTTGCGTTATCAAAGATGTGTGGAAAACAACACTCTTCCGATTTGATAATGCCGCCCGCTTATCTTCAATTGCATCCTTCGGTTTTTCGAGTTGTTCAACATACACATTTGAATTTATCGTTTGGTTCTGCGGCATGAGTTCAAAATACAAAATTCCTTTGTGATCCCACCAGACTGACACCATAATCTTTTTTGGTGAATCTCTGCTTTTGATACTGTTTGGGCTGGTTCATCTTGCTTCACCCATGATCTCTTGCGAGTAACGACATTGTAATAAACTATCCACTTTTCGTCGCCAGTAACTAGGTTCTTCAGAAATGGATCATTCTCACTGCGTTTCAGTAGCGGCGAATCACAGATGCTAATCCGTTGCGTCAAATGAATTTCCTTTAACTGGTGAGGGATCCATAAATCAAGTTTCTTGACATAACCAAGGGTTTTTAATTTTTTTTTCAATGCATGTATGCGACACATTGAGCAGCTTCTCTGCAATATCTCGTGTTGTGCTGTGACGATTTGAATCGATAATGGCCTTGATATGGGTTTCATCCACTTCGAGTGGGCGGCCAGATCGTTGTGAATTTTTCAGTGAAAAATCACCGGAACGAAATCTTTCAAACCAATTTCGACACTGCCGTTCTTTGAAGGCTTCATCTCCATATACGGCACATAACTTCTTTTGTTCTTGGGATGCGTTCTTGCCTTTTCGGGAGTAATACAATAAAATGTGTCGGAAGTGCACGTCCTGTTCTTTCATTTTTAAATTGGGATAAAAACAAAACTAAAGAACTAAACAAAAAAAATTTGTTACTAATTAACCTAGAAGCCCATAAAGTAAGAAAAAAAATATAGGTTAGATGCTCTGGCCACGTTAACAAAACAAAAGAAAGTATAGAGTGAATCTGTCAACAAAAACGGCAATGACTTAGTTGCCCACCCAATAGTTTTGAGAAAAGGAATTGAAATCAGGTTATTGGGATTCGCAATTTTTAATTCACTACTGAATTTGTTCAAGAGTTATTTTGGAGAGGTTTGCAATCGGTCTAACTTTAATCAAGATAACATTCTCATATTGTGAGTCTTATATAAGATTAAAAACAAAAGAAAATAGGGCACTGGAAATCTCTTTTAATCAATACGTATTTTGAATAGCAATCCTGTTGGTAGGGTTACAGTATCCCTTTCTTTTCTGCAAACAATTCACACGTAGTTGACATTTTATGGAACTGATTGTTTGAACTGTGAAGTTTCGACTACGCTCCTATCGACAGCAGCTTGTTTTTATGTATGACTTACGTTTATAAATTTGCATCCCTTGCGTATTCTTTGTTTGCAAATTCTGTTATCACTAACTTCTTATCGATTTTTGTTGTCACTTCTATTCTCTATCCTCTGCATATAACCAACGCCTCCGAGATCCTGGTATTGTTCATTGATTCTCCCCCCCCCCGTCTCTCCACAAACCCANCCCCAAACCCCCCCCCCCCCCCCTCCCTCTTTACATATGCGCCATGAGATTTACTCTCTAATTTAATTATTTGTGCGTCTTCCTGGCCATCAGACCTCCACTTTTGTGGCAGTGGAACTGATGTAACTGGTAATGGCTGCACTATGACTGGATTTCTCAATTCAGCATGGACCTTTCTCCTTACATTAAATTTGTTTTGTTAGAGAGTATAGCTCTGGTATACTTGAAACGCATCACACTAACCCAATTTTACCGCATTTCTTGTAATCGTGAAATTGGTCGATTTCGCTAGCTTTCCAGCATCAACTAGAGGTGTTTTTTCAGCGTTCTAACTCGCGCTTACCAAATTTGAGAATCAATTTGTCTATCCACCAACAGTTCCGCTGTCTTTAAAGGCAAATTCGACCCACTGGTACTCGAATTAGTAGTGCGAGTGCTTATTAAGAATATTTAATCAAATCTAATTTAAACAGACTTTATCGACTTACCAACCCGCTTTCCCAAACTATTGTCATGTTAGCAATTAATATATACCCCCCTCTTCCTTTTTACTTCAGCGCCGTTCCTTATCCCAAACCTTCATTGCCAGTAACGCGGAAAGTGAAAATTCCCTGTCCAAGTGGTCAGCCAGCTCTTCAGAGCGCTTGTCCAAAGTTCCTTCTACTAACACAATGTCCACCTGCAACAATAATGCAGGAAGTGATCGTCTTGTGAATGCTTTTGCTCCTGGAACCATGACTTTTGTGATGCTTAAGGAGCATCTTAAGCAGAATGTTCTCCAGAAACCCACATTCAAGGGACATATCTACTCTGATTTCTCTCAACTACCTGTCCCATTCCCTTACTTCTCTAATCCCAAAGTGAAATCGTCGGCTGTTCATTTAGTCATCTGTGTTCACGGACTTGAAGGTAAGCCCCTTTTCATATATCTTTTTGGCTTCGTTCTTTTTGAATTTCAGATTTGGTTACTAATTAAAGGTTAGATGTATTCGCCCAGATTTCACAATTATCATCAATTCTGATGCGAAAAATTATAAGTTGGTCTAGTTGGGTGTATATAACGATGTCGAGATGCCAGTTGTCTTACTTTATTTTATTTCTGGTTGTTTTATGGTTTTTGATTTCAATAGTCAATTTTCATATTTATTCCTTTAGTTTCTGATTGAATCCCTCTTTAGAGTTTGCTAGTCATCTAACTTAGTTTAACTTTAAATAAATTACTCGCGGATTTATTCTTAAGTAGTCTAATTTTTTAGCTGCAAATAACTGGTTTCAATAGATTACTTCACATTATTCATCTTCATTTTAAATACCACAAGAACAAATTGGAATGAAATAATATTATTATCATCGTCATATATGTAAGAATATTACATTGTTATCAGTTACCGGGGGGGGGGGTTAATTGGCCCAACATTAATTGATTTTTGGAATGGATTTGAATATTTTACATTGAATGGGTATGCTCGCTTGTCAAAATTCAAATTGAGTTTGAAGAGAACTCCTCTCTTTTAGGTTCGGCTCGTATTGATCTGTTAATTTAATCATGAAGGGTCGGCCTTGTCACCTTTATATGATATGTTTAATGTACCAAATCGCACTAAGCTTTATTATAAGCAAATATAGTAGCCTAACCGACATTTCTTTTCTCCTTAAATTTAATCGAAATTTATTGAATTATATTCCTTCATAGTATTCATAACCACCGCGTGGCTATATTGCAAGACCAAAGTTGAATCTCAACTTTCCTCTTATTTTTTCTAAATTAAAGCATATTCAGTAATAATTTTTTTCTTAAAAGATGGAGTTCTACTAATGATTGGATGTAAAGGTATTTCTTCCCCTTATTTAAATAATTTCAAATATGAACAAAAAAACACAAGACGAGCAAATAGTGACGGTAAGTAGTTGTCTTGTTCCAGTGATCACAATTCCCTTTCTCAAAGAGGAAACCTTGAATAAACCTATATGTCCTATTCTAACCGTGGGGGGGGGGGGGGGGGGGGNGGGGCATTTAGAAGACGATAGATTCCAGCTAAGGTAACTCGTTTCTTCCCTCGCTATTCTTCAGGCCTCACCTTCAATCTTATATCAATTTTCGCTACGATAGCAGGATGGAGGAGAGACGTTTGGTTGGAGATTGTTATTGAGAGTAGAATGGGCGCTCAGCGGGTTCTAGAGGGCGTTTATTAAAGGAAACAGTACCGCTGACTGAAGTAACGCAGGGGGGGGGGGGGGGTTTGATGTTATGGGTAGAGCCCCGGTAGCGGTCTTAATATACTTTGAAGAAGCGTATCTGAAACAAATCTGTTGACGGGCTGGGCTTATTCTTGATAACGGTGCCTTAGGATTTTTTTACTAAATTTAAAGGTTTTCCTGTTTTACTGTTAATTAATGTAATTAGCAACCTCCATCTAGTTAATTTTCTCTCAGCAAAATACTCTTCTTTAAAATCCGGTCCTTTTGATAAGATCTTTCTCTACATCAACTTTTAAGATTGAAATCGAATTATTACTTATTATTTTCAATTTCTTAAATGGAATAAGCCATATCATATCGAGTGCACATGTTTTCCACTGGAACTGTATGACACACTTCTGAATGCTTTATATTGTTGTGCTTATAGGGAATTGTTTGGACTTGCGATTATTGACAATGTACCTTCAATTGGCCCTACCTGATCACCCACTCGAGTTTCTGATGTCAGATAGTAACCACGAGGATACTTTCAACTCTCTGGAACAGTTGCGCGATAACTTGGTAAAAGAGATTCTGCAGCACATTCACTCCATGGAGGAGAAACCTACTCACATCAGGTAAGAAAAGTTAGGTACACGAATATTTATCTTCCCAAATCGCTAAATTACTGGTATAATATTTGCATCGTTATTACTACCACCTGCTAAATCAGCTAAGTGGTTTAGTAGGTGTCTACTCTGCGGAGTTTTTGCCAATCACATGACGCCTCTAAACAGCCACGTAGTCACTCACGAAAGAACCATAACCATATATAGACCTCCTTAACGCAGCTTAACTAATCTCTGCACGCAATTCCACTTTCACGCAGGGGTGGTTTGGGTACTCAGCCCAGCTCACCTTCCACTTTCCTCTGCTATCATCCAATACACCACCAGTCATTGCGTATTGCTACCCCTTTTGTGATCGCTCGATTTTATAGGGGGTGTCTCCAAGTTAAGCACCTTTGGAGATTATAAAGGTGGCTTCTACTTGAATTTGGGCGACTTTATGACTCGGGTATGCTTCTACATCTTAATACCCAGCTATAAGAACTAAATGCACTGAGGGGTGGTCTAAATATATATATATATATATATATATATATATATATATTGAATTAACTTTGAAAACTGAGGACGTATTCTTAGCAATCTAGGATCGAACGTAGGCAATCTGAAAGAATTCTTTATTAAAACGATGTAACACTTTTGATACTTCAACATTTTACGTAAATTCTACTTGACTTCACTCCTTTGCCACCCATTAAACCAGGTCGATGCTTCCCATGATGAATCCTAGTTACAATTCGTACTTTTCCCCCGCTCAGTGGGTAGTAGAGCATTCAATTTTCATCCAGGGTAAGTGAAAGAATCGCGCACTCAGTTTCTATTTTTGTTTTCAAATTCAGGTGTCCTTAAATTCTTGTCACTATCGAAATAAGCGCTTCATTACAAATCTGATTGGAATAAATGTAATCGACTACATCTGATATGCTCATTAGATCATAAAATAGTTGCAAGTCTTATTTTTCACTCGTAATTAATTGAAATGCTCACTTTAAAATCTCAGCTCGAATGCGCTATGGCTACCCACTAGTTTTAAATTGTGCAAAAATTGCATGCATGTGTTTTGAAGCACTTCTGAATGCTCTAGGGAATTCAATCATTCATTATGTATAGGGTATGTGAAATATTGCACGAGTTTTTTTCAACAACTTATTTTCAGTCACAAGGGTGTAATCTCATTTCATTTACTACAGTTTGCTATTGTTTTTCCCCCCATTTCGTTTGTATAATCTTAAAAGTTCGGATCACCCCGCGCGTTTAAATCTTAAAATTAATTCTAACCCACTTTTCTGAATATTGATTCACTAATTGGACATTCGTCAGCCAATTAGATTTCTCCATTCGTATTCAGCTGCACAGCGCAAAACGTGACTCAGCGAGTACTTCATTTCCAATTTACGATTTTGCAAATCCGATACCCATGTGCTTTTTATTAGATTGAATGGAGATGAGCGCGTCCTGAGCTATATTAATCAAAATTGTTTCCTATTGAAGTTCGATAAAGTTAACTTATCTAAATACATCCATATTTTCGAAATTTCATGCCCAACTTGAAGCTATGACTATCTTGACATTTAGACGTGACATCCAGTACAGTCCTTTGACAGCTGTGACTGCGAAAAAAAATGAAAATGGCAAAGAACCTGATGAAAACTGGATTTGGTTGGCGATATTTTTATCAAAAAAATGTGGATTTTGAGATGAGAGTATATCTACCTTGATATACGCCTACCGTGTATTGAGTTGTCTGTCATTATTTATTTGTCAAAATGTGAAGATTTGAGGAGAAAAGTAAATTTCATTATTTCCCTTTTTAATTACTCACTATGTGAAACCAGGTCTCCTTATTCTTAATAATGAAGATAGGGCTTTAAAGGAACGGTTTGGAGCAGCATATAGAGCCGTCTGTTATTGCGTTTAATCTTTTGAAAGTTGCCTTAACTCACTATGTATTCAGATGTGTATTTGCATATCCCCGTGGTTATTAAATCCGAATGGATTGTATTACTTCCTCTTGCCACCACCGTCACATACTTCCTTTTTTTCAGTTTTATCGGTCACAGTCTCGGCTGCGTTCTAATCCGGGCCGCCTTGTCAAGTCCTCAATTATCCCACCTCTATCCCCTTCTCCACACCTTTCTCTCCTTTTGTGGACCCCACTTAGGAACTCTCTATAGCACCTCAGGTCTCGTATCGGCTGGGATGTGGGCCTTGCAGAAGTTGAAGAAATCTCGCTCCCTTCTCCAATTGCGCTTGCGGGATCATCCTGATCTGCGGGAGACCTTCATGTACACCCTAAGTTCTGCTGAGGGGTTGGAGTATTTCCGGCATGTCCTTCTGGTTAGCAGCCCACAAGATCATTATGTACCGCATCACTCGGGTAGAATCGAACTCTGTAAAGCTGCTATTCAAGATCCCTCTGAATTGGGTGAGTTTTTGCTGTAAATATGCAACTGGTTTCAACCTCATAATTTAGGCTTTCATTGCAATAAGAGGAGCTTAAAAAGGTGACACCAATTTAGGCTGTGACATTGTTTTATATGAGAGGTCAGCTAGTCTACTGCTTCTGTCCAATTTGGAAACGTCTTTGCTTCAAGTTTCTTCGTATCATTTAAGGCTGATATCGGATCTATAGGGCATGCTTTGCATCCGTGGTTCATTTTCTTTTCTTCGGGTTGTATTGTTAGATAGGGGAAAAATTGAGTAGTTTTAACACCTGATCAGAACTAATAAGAATAAATTACGTGAACAAAATTCGCTTTACTCTTCAAGCAGTAGAGGCTTAGATAACTGTTCTTCTGTGCTCATGCTGTTATATCACTAACTAACTCGAAGTTCCATGCAGAACTGTCATGCTTCCTTATAAAGGGCTAAAGGGAAACCGTCCTGTGGCGCAGAGATATTCTCTCTTCTTCTAGTTCTGATTAACTGTAGCCATATATTATCACCAGTGACATTGCTTTATGTTGGGGGAGGGGGGGGGGGAATATGTAACGTAGGAAATATGGACGAGTGTATCAGGATGAATGTCTTGGGCGGAATTGAGGACGTCCTGTGTTATGACCACCCAAAAGTGGAGCCTTCTTATTTTTAAACTTACCTTTGGAAATCGCAGAATCCAAATTGACCTCTTCAATAATCTCGAGCTTAAATTAGCAAAGTTCGTTTCGAACTATTAACAGGGGTATTATCCACGCAGTGCTAATTGAACCGCTTGGGTGCACAATCGTGGCCTGATTCTCGTTTTTTCCGTCTTTTTTAATCTGAGTTGTTTCGCTACTTATGTAAACATATTCTCTTTAAGGAACCGTATACATGGAGATGGTGGCTAACCTCCTACAACGTCTGATCAAGAGTCCTCGAATTCGATCGGTTGTCCGCTACGACGTTCACTACGAACCTCAGGCGTCTGCTAACCACTTCATTGGTCGCGCTGCCCATATCGCCGTTCTAGACTCTGACGTCTTTATGGAGAAATTCTTCTGCGTGTCCGCAGCCAAGTTCTTTCGAGTTGACGGGGATGGTAATAGCAATTGCAATGGGTACAACGGTGGTAGGGACCAAGTTTCAACCGATAGCAGCAGCGTTAAAGTTGTCAACGAAGAGCGTTCTACCTCCACACCCTCTTCCATCGTTTCGGACTTATCTCTTCTAGCTAATGGAAGTAAGTGGTCTTGTTCCAATTGTTTCCATTGATTTTCTTTATATTGAATTCCTCAAAGTTAAAGATTAAAAAACGTGAGTTTATGGGAGCGCTTTACTCTTATTGTCTATTAGGATTTGCAAAATCGGAATAACAAATTCAACTTAAAAAATGTTAACAGTAAAGATGAATATTATTATTTTTAGTATATCAGATTCTCCTCAGTTCTTGGAAGATGTTAAACTAACTCTCTATTCTTTCTCATTTCAGTTTGAAAATCTCAAAAATCATTCCAAAGCACATGTAAATAGACGAATGAATATATATATATATATATCTTTTTTTCAATGTAAAGGGTGTTCGCGAATTGTTTCCCTGTCTGCAACTGAAGAATGCCCAACGCACGTATTTTTGATTGTCTTTCAAAGCCCCACCGATCCCCAATTTCCTTGATGTACTTCAACGGCGAAAATAGTAGATTTGTGAAAATTATTAAATATGGTTGGCTTATATCTTATCTTTCCAAATACTATTGGCAATGTCAAAATTTTCAGAACGATTTATTAAATGCTTTAATTGAGAGGATGTGTGTTTATTTTTTGGGACCTTTCTTGGTGGTATTTGTTAATATATGAGTGAAATTTTACACCAAATGCGATGAATCTACCGACTTTTTGTCGAAAACTTACGACATGAATTTCACATTAAGTATATGAAAATTGCACTGCTTCCGTATTTAGCCAAAATACGATTTTAGTTAAACATTTCGCATTTGGCGATGAACGGTGTGGCTCATGGGTCGTTAAAAAAGATGATTGAATTCGAATGTTCCATGATGACTGCCTTATGCCATTAACTTATTACTCTCCAACATGACTTTTGAAAATGTCATCGATATTGCTACTTTTAATCATTAGAGGAAAAAGATTATTTGTTCATATTTTATATTGTTTTATAGAATATGAATGAACAATTTCGATTCCATCAATTCACAAATATCCTTCGGAGGATACCGCTTGACCACTTCTCCCTAAACCGAAATATTTCGTTTATTAATGCCACTCATATACTTGAGTTTTAAACTTATTTATAAAATGTTGTCTTAATAACAATTCTGTTAATGTTGAAGCTCTTAATCAGATCCAAAAATACCATACCCTTGGATCAGGCAAAAAATTCATCTGCGTTTGTATTACTCGTCGTGATTGTTCATATTTCATTATTTTAAATCTATATAAAGTGCTACGAAATAGATACGCACACAATACAATACTATCCGACGAATCAAGGAAATACGATCTTTGCAATGCTTTTCTATGCACATCGAGAAAAAATAGAAAAAAATATAAAATTATCTTAAATTATATGAACAATATTAAAAATTTCTTGGATTCCCTTTGTGTTGTTATTAAGGTGTCTATATGATGGCCTGTGGCATGCTAAACAATCATTCTTTTGATTCTTTATAAAAGATACGATTTAACATATTTAATTTCATATGTTAAATTAAAACTATTTTATTTATCACTAAATTCCTTAGACAGAATATTGTGACTACATATTATTTGAGTTAACTAGAGATGACCTTGTGACTTACACTTCTTCTTTTCAAATATACTTTACGCTCTAGGGTTGTCCAATGGCAATTACTGCTCGTGGTGATTACCAGCTAAAGCTTAAAGCCAGGCAAAAAATCCAGTCATCGAAAGATCCACTTGAAAGGCTTCGGCTAGCTTGTTTGGCTCGAGGAGGCTCAGGTATACTTGGATTTGGAAGGTAATCGTGCATTAGTTAAATTATGTGGCTTTTAATTAGTATATTATGACATTATGTAAATGATATTCCTTGCATTGAGATTTATTATCTTTTAAATATTGACAACTATCCATATTTTTCTAAATACTTTGTTGAAATAATGTTAATTTGTATACATTAATTTATTTACTTTGTTCTTCTTTTAGACAGTTCAGAATTATTGATGATAACGGAGATAAGAAATTGGATATGCGCGAATTCGCCAAAGGGTGTCAAGATTTTGGAATCGACTTTACTAGAGAAGAAATAAGAGAGGTTTTCGAACACCTGGATAAAGATGGGAGTGGGCATATCGACTTTGATGAATTCTTGGAAGCTCTTCGTGTAAGTTAAGTATGCATAATTTGCATTTACCTCAGCCTCCCATGCCAAAGTGCAGAGTTGAGTTGATAAATCAAGCCTTTAACAAAATGGATCGCACAAGAGACGGCTATATAACTGTAAGTAACTATTTTGTTATAATGCATTCTTTCAAATCGGTTAATAATAATAGTGAATTATTTATTGGATTGGACTAAATTAATCGAAAATATGATCATTCACTTGTTAATCTGCTTTTAGTCTGAAGATTTGAAGGGTGTTTATAATTGCAAGTTTCACCCGAAATACCGAAACGGCGAATGGACTGAAGAACAGGTCTTCAACGAATTTCTCAAGAAATTTGAAGCACCTAATGAAATTGATGGGAAGGTTTGAATCAACTTCATTAATATGGTTTTTATGGGAAATTCATGCAAATTTTTTCATAAGTGAATAGAAAATTCGCGTGTCTCTCTTATCTGTCTAATCCCAAATGAAAAATTGTTTATTTAGATTCAGTACTAATTTATTTTCTTTAATTAAGATTAATATAAGGAAAGGTTTCTCATAAATTCGAATACTTATGAGTTTTCCTTATTTGAATATTCATTATTTACTATACAAGAGCAATCAACTCAGCAATGAAAAACTTGCCGAATGTTCCACAAGAAGCCGCAATTATTATTTTTACTTCTATTTGGAATGGCCTACTTTATAAAATTTTTTCATTGGTTGAATTTCATGAAAATGCATACATTTAAGCATCGTCGCATAACTGATTTTCAAATTTCCGTATGTGATTAATACTGATTACTGAATTCTCCATAGTTCCAGAAAAACCATGGTTTATTATTAATTTGCTCATTTAGTATAGATTTAGCAATGATGAAATCAACTGTTTAATGAGTCAAAATTTGGACAAAATTATTTAACTTAGGTGTTTATTTATTTATATCAAATGGTAAGCGTTTTGATAGTTACAATTAGCCCATTAGCTGACTTCGGGATTCACAGAGAGGAGGAACATCAAAGTGGGAAAAATTCGAGAAAAGGTAAGATGAGTACTGTGAAGTGGTTGAATATGACATAGAGTGGGGTCATGGTAGTTTGAAGTCAGAAGTCAACTGCCAGTTAATAGACTTTTTACCGTATGAGCATACGTTGCCCAGGGTTTATCACGTGGAGGTAAATCTATCGCATACCCCATTTAACTTAGGTGCTAGTGTGTGCTATTTTTAACGTCATAAATTAATAATAGGCGAGTTTCGTTAATTGGATGAAAGTAATTTATATCAAACTTTAGCTTTATGTAGTCAATTTTCTCGTTTTTTTAAACATTTTAAACCAAGATGTCAAATCTGCCATTAAGTTCAGTTGAACACTTTCGGTTAAACTCCAACGTCTCCTCTTTGCACTAGTCTTACCATCGAAGCCCCAATAATAGAACAGACAAAACAGTTTCAAAAATTCTCCAATTCTCCTCTATGGCAACCGTTGCA